TACTAACGAGATGTTTTTGGGGCCTCACAGGAATGACAGTGCTTTGCAGGATTCCATATAAATAGAGTCTCTATTTCTTCTTTTTCTATTTTTAGTATCATCTATTATGCTCACTGTAAATTAAACATAAGGATACTACACCTACCTTTGTATGGTTATCAAAGGAAACCATCCTGGGAGGCAGTAAATAGTGGTTGCAAGTGGATAGTGGTGGCAAGTTATTTTGGCTTCTCTGGACTTGTTTTTCCATCTGTACCATGAAGGTCAACTGTTTTGGAAAAAAAAAAAGTTTAAACAGTGACTTTTTCCCCAGCCTATTAACATGTTGAACCCATATAAGCACATGGAACCATGGAGGCTGGGTCAACTATCCAGGGCTTGGGCACTGGTACTAGCCATACTGGGATGGGAGCAAAAGCAAGGATGGAGGACCCGGAATCCTAGGAGATCTAAATGAGAACTTGAGCCAAATACCTTGCTGGTCAGGCTCTTAATTCTTCCCCTGACTTGTGTGATCTGGGGAAAGAGTATTCTATTAACAACAGTCTTTCACTTGAAGTATTTTCAACAACTGACAGCAAATATAGATGTGAATTTTATAAGCTGCCCTTAGCTCATATGTAAATGAACGGATTATGGGGAGAATGACAGGTGCTGACTTGTACTTATTTAATTTTTCAAAGTGACCTGATTGGCAACAACCGAAGGCAAATGACAGCTATTTCCTAGCTCAACAAATCCGAGGGATTAGTAGATGGAGCCATTAGCGGCTTTCTTAGCTGGCAATGGAGGGGACAGTATTGCGCTCTGCTCTTCATTGCACACAAGTGCTCAGCATTATATACCAGGTCACAGGTACAACAGCACCTGGGTTCCTTTGAAGCTTCCGAGAGAGGACTCTGTGGGGAGAATGCGGACACACAATATGCGCAGCACACGCTTATTATATGCAGCAGGTACATTAAAACTGTGACAGATATAAGCTGCTTTAATATACAGGATCATCTTGAGCTGTGGGATCTGATGTGTAAACCAGTATGTATGGCAAATATCTTGTCAACATCCTTTTCTTCATGTCTCTTGTCTTTTTGCTTTGAAACATGGATAAGTGAAATTTGGAGGAAGAAACCTAGGTAACAAGGATAACAAAAAGAAAGAAGGTACCATAGTTCTGTATCCTCCCAGGAGAATCAATCATCTAGAAACCTAGCGTTTGGCTTTTTCACAGTAACCTTCCAACCAGTCTTACAGGTACTACTAAGAAGGGGGAATCAAAGCAGGTAACACAGTAAAGTCTAGAAGGATATACTCCAGGTTGCTGACACTATTTCCAAAGGATGAAAGTGGAAAGGGATGATGACAAATTATTAAATTTTCCTTACACATCTTTGAATTATTTCATCTGTTACATTAAGCACATATCACTTCTGTAATATACATTAATAAAGAACACTGATACAGAAAGCAACTACCTTATTCATTTAAAACACACACAAAAAAAAACACTGATCAAGAGAGTGTTTGTATATAATGTACATGGTCTGTCATATTTACAAGAACCAGTAAGCTCACTGAAGACTAAAATGCCAAAGTCTAATTATTAGTTAACAGCAGACGTTTTATGAGACAGGAGCATGAGGGGAGCCTCTGGGTTCATAACTTTCCTCTTGCCTGAGCCCCTATTCTACTGGGCAGCCCAGTGCCCTCCCCTGTAATTAAATGAAGTCATGTGGGTGATGACTTAGCACTTAGTACTCTACCTCACAAAAAGGTCCCACAGAATCAAGGTCAATTACTTCCTGTTAGATGGGATCAGCTTCCTCCTGGGGTAAATATCACATAAATTATTGAAAGCAGAGATGTATGGTCTCCTCAAAGGGCAACATATCCCTCTCCTCTGAGAGCTCCTGCCTGAGATGTGACATAGGTCACTACCTGTAAACCTCTCCCATAGCATAATCCTATGATGAGTGGGGTGCTTCCTCGATGGATCATGCTTTAGAATCGTCAGGGTTTTTCAACCTTGGTCCTATAGAGATTTCGGACCCAGTGTTTCTTTGTTGTCAGGGGCTGGGTAAGGGGTAACCTGTGCATTGTAGGATGTTTGGTGGCATACAACATACCAAACTGCTCAAGCCAAAACTTTACCCACTAGATGCTAGCAGTATCCAACCCCCACAGTTGTGACAAAAATATCTCCAGACATTGCTAAGTGTCCACTGTGGGGCAAAATTGTCCCCAGTTCAGAACCACTGCCATAGATCAATTTCGTTGTTCTTCAGCTAACCCATAAGAACCTGGGGCTAGGACTACACATTAATGTCCATGTGCCCCACCTCCACCACCAAAACCCCCCCACAAAACTTGAACTTTTAAACTTTGTTTTAAGACGCATGAAAGTCAAGTTTCCTGAAGCATTTATCTAACATTTTAGTGCAAATGTTCTCACTTATGAGTGGCTGCCAAAGGACAATAGGCAAGGAAAAAATAGGTAGGTCAAGCCAGGCCCTGTGGGGATGAGAGGGAGGGAAGAGGTGTTCAGGGAAAACTGGAGAAAAAGATCTCAAATTCACTCGGGCAGCATAAAATGAGTGAGACAGGCTGGCAGACGATAGCTGCTTAGTCATATGGCTTTAAATACCATCTATGTACTGATGACCCTACATTTTATATTTCTTTGTTGTTGCTAATCCTCACCTGCCCTCGACCAGGCATTGAACCCGTGATTCCCCAGTGCTCCGGCCAACACTCCAACCACTGAGCCACACCAGCCATGGTCCACATTTTATATTTCCAATCCTCACCTCCCTCATGGAAGCCAGCTTCTTGCATTCAACTGCCAATCCATGTCTCCATTTGGGTCTTATACAGGAATCTCAAACTCAGCATGGCCAAAACGGAACTGATTTTCCCTCCTAAACCTGATCCTCCTCTGGTATTTCTCATAAATGGCCAGACCACCGTACAACAAATTGCTCAAGCCCAAACTAAAGTCATCCTTGATTCTCCTATTTCTCTTTCTCTCACTTCCATATCCATCGGTCATGTCAGCTCTGCCTCCAAACCCATCCCTAATCTGCCTCTTTTCTCTAGCTCCACTCCTGCCACCCTAGTACGAGCCACTATCATTTCTTACCAGACCACTGCATTAGCTTCCTAACTAGTTCTTGTTTTCTTGCTTGTCCCCTACATCATCAGGTTTTCTCAATATCACACTATTGATATATTGGGCTAAGTAATTCTTTGTTTGGTGTATATCGTGGGGAGGGGCTATCTCATGAACTGTAGGATGTTTAGCAGCATCCCTTGCCTCCAACCACCAGATGCCAGGAGCAAAACTCTCCCCCATTCCCCGCCCAAACTGTGACAAACAAAAATGTCTTCAGACATTGTGAGGGGACAGAACCACCCCCCAGCTGAGAACCACAGCCCTGCATCCTACACACAGAAGGCAAGATATTTTAAAAATATAAATTGCATCATGTCACTCTCGGGCTGAAAACCCTCCAACGTCTCTCCATTGACCTTACGGTAAAACCCCTCCTTGCCTGGCTTACAAGACCTCTACGAACTGGCTCCTGCCTACTTCTCTAACATCCTCTCTTCCATACCATGACTCCCCCTCGTTAAACTCCAGCCACACGGGTTTTTCTGGTCCTTAAACATTCCAAGCTTGCACCCATCCACTCTTTGCACTTGCTGTTCCCTCTGCCTAGAATACACTCTTTCCAGATCTTTGCATGGCTCACTGCTCATGCACAGAAATCTCAGCTCCAATAATGCTTAGTCAGCAAGGCCATCCCTGACCATCCTATCTGAAGAGCCCACTGACCTCCATCCTCTACCACATTACTGGTTTATTTCCTCCACAGTGCTAATCATAATAGGGAACTGTCTTGTTCTCCTGGAGAGCCAGACCCTGTCTATCTGGCTCTCTGCTATAGCTCTAGTGCTAGAATTCCATCCGGGATAGAGTAGGTACTCAAAATGTCCTCCCCTCCACCTCCTCATATCTCAGGTCAGGTTTCCCTTCTAAGATTATTCTCTGCACACATCCCAACGAAGGATCGAACCGGCAAACTGGGCATGTTCCCTGACTGGGAATCGAACCAGAGACCCTTTGATGCTCAACCCACTGAGCCACACCAGCCAAGGCTCTAAGACAGCGGTTCTCAACCTGTGGGTCGCCAACCTGTGGGTTGCAACCCCTTTGGAGGTCGAACAACCCTTTCACAGGGGTCGCCGAAGACCATCGGAAAACACATATAATTACATATTGTTTTTGTGATTAATCACTATGCTTTAATTATGTTCAATTTGTAACAATGAAAATACATCCTGCATATCAGATATTTATATTATGATTCATAACAGTAGCAAAATTACAGTTATGAAGTGGCAACGAAAATAATTTTATGGTTGGGGGTCACCACAACATGAGGAACTGTATTAAAGGGTCGCGGCATTAGGAAGGTTGAGAACCACTGCTCTTTTTTTTTTTAAGAAAATATCTTACTTTGTTAATTTTAATTTAATTGACTGCAGAAAGGGAGGGGGAGGGAGAGATAGAAACATCAATGAGAGAGAATCATTGATCAGCTGCCTCCTGCACGCCCCCTATTGGGGATCGAGCCTGCAATCCAGGCATGTGCTCCTTGACTGGAATCCAACCCGGGACCCTTCAGTCTACAGGCCGATGCTTTAGCCACTGAGTCAAACCAGCTAGGGCTCTAAGATTATTCTTAACTGGTGACCTTCATTTCTAACTATAGTAGAACTATGTTAAAAAGTACAGCTGGGGTTACCATGTACAGGGCTTAGTACAAAAAAACAAACCCAAAACCTGCTTATTTTGAAACAAACAAAGGCCAATTACTGAATGAGTGAAAGTCTGCTCCACGCCCCTCAGGTTTTTAGCAGGCATATAAGCATACTACTGGCATCATTTCTGGTTGCATCCTGTCCCTAGGCAGTGAAGGGACTATGAATCTCAAACTCACCTGGTTCAGAGGTTCAAACAGCCTCTTATCCATCAACTCAATTTATACAGGAGAATGGACCTGGACACTTGTGCTGGCTTCCAGTTAAAACAGTTGCCTGGGTCAAAGGCAGGAAGGTCCAAGGTGCAGCGTGGGCAATAAATGTTGGCTGAGTCCGGAAACTGCGGATTGGCCTTTCTTAGGCTGATGTATAGGCGGTTGCTCTGATTGGTCCACCTGGCAGCTTGGTGGCTGCAAACTGGAGGCAATGTGGTCCTGGCCGAGGGCCATGGCCCTTTCGTGGCCTTTGGGAAGTGTTTCATCGGGACATTTTTACATTCTGGCTGGCTGCCGTCTTGTCCCTCCGGGGAGGGCTCTCCACACGGTGCAGAGACGTCTCCACGCGCAAGGACGAGGCCCTGACGTGGCGGGAGGACGTTTCTGTGCGCTGCGAGGAGGTCTCCACGTGCTGGGAGGACACCTCGAGGATGCGAGGAAGCCGCTTCCCAGAGGGGACCTGGGTGGTCTCCACCTGCCGGGAAGACGTGTGCACCCGCCGGGAGGAGGTCTCCACGCGGTGGGACGAGGTCTCCACGCGGACCGTCGATGTCTCCTTGTAGCGGGTGGTTTCCACCAGGGGCGAAGCGGTCTTTCCCCGAAGGGGTGAGGCCATTCTACGGGTGGAAAGGAGGTGGGAGGCCACGAGACCTCGGGAGGCCCAACAGCCTAACACTCCCCGATAGTCTCGCCTCTGGGTTACATCACAAGGGAAGGGATGATGTCACAATGGCGTGTCACGTCACCGCAGGCACAGGGGTGGACGAGAGTGCCCCAACACCATGGCATGCAGGCACCGGGTTCTGTCGGGCTTTTCTCTCCCTTGCAAATACCGGGCCCCGCCCCGCGGCGCTCCGCGGGCCCTGCTCCTCGCCCTCGCCTTTAGGGGGTCCGCGCAGGCGTGTCAGCGGCTGAGCCGGGGCGAGCCTGGGCGGGCCCGGGATGGGCAGAGCCTCCCGCTCCCACGCTAGGCTGTGCCCGCCCCCGCATCCCACACTGCCCCGCGACAGGAAGGCGGAGCCGCGGCTTCCGGAACCTCCTCCTCCACTCCTGGCGGTGGCTGTGTGGGGCTGGAGGCAGCTGAGCTTTTTAGCCGGTGATGGCCGCGGCTGTCGCTATGGAGACAGGTCAGTAGCGCTCGGAGCCGCGAGTCTCCGCGGACAGACGGGTCCGGGCCGGGACACCTGCTCCAGCTCCCGGGACGCCGTGCAGGCCTCATCTCCGCGGGGTGACAGTGCGGACCCGGGGGCGTGAGGGCTCTTGTCGCGGCTGGAAAAGCTAAGCGAGTTTGGCCTTTCCAGAGGCTGATTTGTTCGCAGGCCTTTTTCCTCACTTGCTGGTCAAACACCCACCCCGCGGGCTTCCTGGCGTGGGCGAGACTAACCCGGAGGCGTTCGATTTGTTTTCTGCGTCTCAGATGAACTTGTCTATAAGTTTGAAATATCGCCGCCACACTTGTGTATTTTTCTGCCACTGACGCTTCTCACATACCCACGCGCTCCCTGATCTTGCACACGTTCCGTCTCTTTTTCAGCTTGAATTCTAAACTTTCTTTTCTGATTGACTTAGCATTCGCTTAGCTTTTGCTTAATTTAATCCCATTAACATTTTAACGCAGTATTCATATAGGGGAAGGCACAGTTATTATTACTACGTACCCCAGTGGTCACTCTACATATGTCCTGCCCCTCCCCCCCCCCCCGTGTGTTCCTGTTTTCTTTGATGACTTTAAACTTTAGAGAAATAATCATTTTAATCAGGGCTTTGCTTTTCTTACCCTTGTAAAGGTTTATCCCCTCTCACGCAGTTTTAAAAAAAACATCATCACCTGCCCTTCATGTAGAAATGTGTATCAGCATTAGTCGGGCTTCTTTACTGCTGTTTTCTTTCTACAAGTTAATATAAAAAGTTACCTTTATTTTGGGTGATTTTCGTTGTCTTCTCTCCTAGATGATGCTGGAAATCGACTTCGGTTTCAGTTGGAGTTGGAATTTGTGCAGTGTTTAGCTAACCCAAATTATCTTAATTGTAAGTTGTTGAGCACCTCATTGAATGAATGATTTCTGACAGATGAGTTGCAGTTCATATTAGTGTCTGCTTTTATACATTCTCAATTGAACGGAATTATTGCTGCACTTATACTGGTGTATATACTGTATATAATTGAGCAAACTGGGACTTGTTTTATGAATTCAATGTGTGTTGGTGGTGGGATGTTATGTGTGTAAATTCTTTGTTAGAAGTCACAAATCAGTGGTTCAAGGATTGGTTTGCTCTACAGATGCATTTTTTTTTTTTATGCCTTTCAGTTCTTGCCCAAAGAGGTTACTTCAAAGACAAAGCTTTTGTTAATTATCTTAAGTACTTGCTTTACTGGAAAGAACCAGAATATGCCAAGTATCTAAAGTAAGTTTAATTTTAATAGTCCTAAATATGTATATATTTTATTATACTCCAGAACACTGATATTTAACAGACTTCTTAGTTTTACCCATTTCTCCACTTTCAGTTGCAACCACCTTATAAGACACACTTATCTCTAACTTGGATTATTGCAGTGATCTGCCCACTGGTTATCTTTGCTTCCACTCTTGCCTTTTTTCTCCACCCGCCCCCCTCACCCCCAGCCAAACAAAGCAAAATAATTCTTTATACATAAGCCAAATTGACCTCTTAAAAATGTAAATCACAACGTGTTCCTTTCTTAGAATCTTTCAATGGCTTCCCAGTGCATCCACAATAAAATTCAGTCTCTTGAGCTGAAGTTCTATATGATCTGGCTTTGTCTTATCTGACCTTATCTTGTACTATTCACCCCATCTCACTGGTTTTCTGACCCCAAGGAACCCACATTCTATAAATGCAGGGACAGAGCTATACGCTAAAAATTTAAGAATGTAGAAAGGGGTACTTGTAAGGACGGTTTTCTGGAGGAGGTAACCTTACCAGCGTCTTAATAGCTACTGGTTTTTTAGGGCCTCCTATGTGCTGTACTGTGCCCATTTTAAAAATAAATGAACACACACACACACACACACACACATAATTTAGGTTGTGCAAAAGATGTCATTTTAATGGTTACTAAATTGCAAGAAGCATATTATAATCACAAGCATTCCTTTTTGCTGGTAAAAAAGTAAACTTTGAATTCACGCCTCTTTGTCTTAACTAGGCAGTCAAAAAGCAATAATGAAACTTTTTGTTTTTTTTCTAAACAAACAAAGTTTGAGAGGAAAATGTTTCAAACTTGCACTTTTTATCCAAGTCACTTTTCTGATCTATGTCTAATACAGTGGTTCCCAACCTTTTTTTGGCCATGCCCCACCTAAGCATCTCTAAAATCCTAATGCTGCCCCCCCCCATATAATTCTTACTATTCAAAAAGTGAACTCCTATGGAGGAAGCCTAAAGACCACTAAGTCTAGATAAGCTTCCAAAGAACATGGTGTCCATGAAAGAGAAAAATAAAAGAACAAAAGGACAGTTGAATACTGAGGAAGAAATCACTAAGAAATTGTTAAAAAAATGTGAAGTGATATGAAAAAATAGCAAATAGTTTCAAAACATATAATAGAGCACTGAGCCAAACCAGTTTCGGCCACAATATATATTTATATACTGTATGTGAAGCCCCTAGAACCATAAGAAATGCAAAAAATTCACTGTTAATAACTCCATTCTTGAATTGTTCCCCTTAATCAAAGGGGCATGTGCCCCATGTTGGGAACCACTGGTCTAATAATTGATTCACGAAGCTGCCTGCAGGATCCTTTGTACCCTTCCTGGCTCTTTATAAACAACCACTTATTCATTTAATAATTCACAGAAAATACTTTATTAGATCCCAACATGTATGTATGTAGATTAGAGACTCAGTGATGGACACTGAATTAGACACCACAAGTTTAATTTCACTCACCACACTGCTGAGATGGTCATCTAAACTATGGCTCGAGGTTCCCTTGAGCACTGCAGGAGTATGCTGTTTCCCAAACGTGTCATTTCTACCGCTGGTCCAGTTTTGGCTCTGTGTACTCCCTATATGATTTACTTTTTTAAAATATATATTTTTATTTATTTTGGAGAGGGAGAGAGAGATAGAAACATCAATGATGAGAGAGAATCCTGCACAACCCCTACTGGGGATTGAGCCCGCAACCCCGGTATGTGCCCTTGACCAGAATCGAACACGGGACCCTTCAGTCCACAGGCTGATGCTCTATCCACTGAGCCAAAACTGGCTAGGGCTGATTTAGTGTTTTTTAATTTACTCATTTAAACTTTATCTCTTTTCTATTTGAAATAATTTTACTTACAAAAGCTTGGAAAAATAGTAAAGAGCATCCCTATATATTCTTCACCCATATATTCTAAATATTAAAAATCGTATGTAACCACAGTACAATGATCAAAATTAGAACATTAACAATATACTGTCTAACCTTATCTAATCTACAGACTTCAAATTTCACAGGCTGTCTTACTAATGCCCTATGTCTGGTACAGTATCCAGTGTAGGCTCATATGCTGCATTTTGTCATGTCTTAGTCTCCTTCGATCTGAGTTCGTCAGTCTTTTTTTTCCTCCATGACTGTGACATAAAAGTCAATTTACCCACCACTGATGATGTTAATTTTGATCACTCGGTGGTAGCTGCCAGTTTTCTCTATATCAAGTTACTATTTTTTCTTTTTAATATGTTGTGAGGAAATACTTTGAAACTATGTTTCATACTTTTACCCACTAATTATCTATTGAAGATACTTGCCTCAAAGAATTGTTACTGTGGTGATTTTCTAATTCCAATTCCATCATTCTTTCTACATTTACTAGTTGGAATTCAGTTGTAAAGAACATTCCCTTGTTCCCAATTTATTCATTCATTTTTAAAAGTTACATCACTATGGACTCTTGGAATCTTAATTTTTATCTTGTAGATTATTGTGATGTATGTCCTTGCTCTAGTGATTCCAGCTATGGCCACTAGGAGCCCCTTCAGATGGTCTCTGGAGTACTTCTGACATAATTTTTGAGCACTTTTCTTTGGCACTACACACTATCCCAGGCTCACCTTGTGTTTTCCTTGCCTTAGCCCGGAATCAGCCATTTCTCCAAGGAACTCTGGAAAATGCTATTTAAAACCCACAAATTGGGCACTAAACTGTGCTTGTTAGTACCACTATGTCATTGTTCCTACGCCTTGTCAGCACACAAACTGAGAACACATATCTGTGTCTGGCTCTATGTTTCTGTCTAAAAAGTCATGAGTTCATACTGCTGTTTTCAGTTCCTGCTCAAAAATAGGGTCCATTCTTGCCTTCTCCCTTTCCTCATGTTTCTTTTTATGATAGCCAGGAATTTGACTCTTTATCCACAGTATTACTAAAAATTAAAAGTGTTCCTATTCCTCACTTTGGAAACCACCAGAGTAGATTAAAAACTAGAGTATAATATTTGTGCATAGTTCTTTCTGAAATTGACTCTGACTTTTTATCATTATTGATGGAAAGCCAATAGTTATCAATTAAACACATAATTACTAAAAATCACTAGTTTCTTTGCCAGAGCAGGAAAAAAAGAACTATGCTACCAAAGTGTTCTAAGTTAATGTTACAGAAATTGTAGCTGAAAGATCATTTCATGAGTAACTGAATTAGAGCTTGGAGTTATTGACTTAAATTATGCCAATCATTAATTGATAAACTTAAACCCAGGTACCCTCAGTGTTTACACATGTTAGAACTACTCCAGTACGAACACTTCCGCAAGGAGCTGGTGAATGCTCAGTGTGCGAAATTTATTGATGAGCAGCAAATTCTGCACTGGCAGCACTATTCCCGGAAGCGGATGCGCCTTCAGCAAGCCCTGGCAGAGCAGCAACAGCAAAATAACACCTCAGGAAAATGAAAAGCTGGATCCAGACCAGGCTCCTAAGACTGTATATGTTGCTTCTGTACAGTGAAGACCAAAAAAAAAAAAAAGACTCATCTTACCTACTTTCTTGTGCTAGCACTGAGTACCTTTGGTGTGCTATTTAATCCAACTAACTTTTCATTGTCAGTAGATTATTTCTGTTAAGCCAAAACTGTTCTTTGATTTTCCTTTGGATTTGTAAATTTTTATTAGTATTTAACACACACAACTAAGGACAGAAACATTTGGTGCTTTAGACCAGTTTAAGGAGGCAGTGAGGATGGGGCAGGGGGAGGGCCGCCAAACATCCTGAACTCAGTCAGGCTCTGTTCCTGATGTACAGTGGGGGCTGGGGCAAGTCCATCTCCTGGAACCTTACTGTCCCTCAGGTCAGCTACCCCACCCTTCTTATCTACATAGTAGTCATTGACTATTCCTTATCCACATACATAAGAAATAGAGTCAATGACCTCTTTAAATCCCAGAGCAGGAACGGCATAAGGTTTTTTACATTCTGCAGGAGAAGAGGACATACCTGTCTCACTACTTGCTTTGCAAAGAGCTTTAATGGAAGAATCATTGCTATGTCGCTGACCTAGTGATGGCGGGGAGATTGATAGTTAACTAATTGGACTCTTGACCTTAGACTAGAACAAAGATGAGGAATTTCAAATACCTGTGCTCATTTGGCAAAGCTAACGTTTATTTGGCAGACACCACAAACCAGGCACCGTGTTAGTGCTTAGCTGCATTTTCATGTCAGTCTTAGAACAATCTTTGTTCAAAAGGGGGAGACTGAGGCTTAGACAGTTTAAGTAACTTGCCTATGGTTACACTGCTAGTAAGTGGTAATCAGAGTGTGACTGACTCAGGTGGAATCCTTCCTCCCGCTTGGCTGTATCGGCTCTAGCCTTTGCTCCCTGCCTCATCCCAAGTAGTGAGGTACGTTCAGACTGTGAAACAAAGCTGCCTGTATGAAGTGGGGCTGGATTAGGTGTGCTGTGCTGTGGTTAGCTTAAGTTCTGCATTCTAAAGCCCAAAAGGCGTTTTAGGAACAATAGTTCTTTGTAAATTCATGGAATTTAAATTAAAAGATCCTAAAATTCATTCAGAGATTTGGAAGCAAATTCACTATTAGGGGCTTTCAGATATTCCTATTATCTCCAATAACACATTCCTTTGTGCTATTACTACCACTCCTGAAGACTTATTTTACCTATATCTTAAAGATATCCATATATTACAAACAAACAGGGTTCATGAGCATTTTTATAGCACTCCAATGTTTAGACATGCCATTTTTAAAAATCATCATTTATTTATGCCTAACATGAATTCAAAGCAAGCATGCAATTTCTTTTATACTAGAATAAATCAGGAAATCAAGACACAACTGTCATAATCAAATCTTAATCTTCAGTGAACAACATCTCCACGAGGTTGGCCTGCAGACATTCAGATTCTACCAGTTTTTGAGGCTGTAAGAGAAGAACAGTCAAATCGTAACCCACAGCTATAAAAATGTTATTAGGAGGGGATAGAGTTGTTCAGCCTTGAATGACACAAATATTTAAACAGAAAGTACGCCATTCAGAAACTATTAACTAGTTGTAACAAGTTTTATGAAACACTTAAGATATTTGCTCTAAGTTCAGTCATTAAAATACTTGGCTCAAAACTTAGACTAAAACAGGAGACAGCAAGTCCAGTGCCACCCCCTTGCCCTCTATTCTTTAGTTTAGAATCCCAGGGCTATGACTAGAAGTTCCTTTTCAACCAGAATTATGGGTTAACTGGCAAGCAGCCATTGATGCCAGTGTTTAAGAAACCATGTGTAAATCAACTTTCTTGAGCAGTTCTTATAGAATTTTAAATTAATAACTTTTAAAAAGCATAAAAAGATGTAATACTTAGATATTTACATTACTAACAGTTTATTGGGATTGTCCATAGGGGACGGACACATGCACTCTGAACAGCACTGTGATGTTTGGATGAAATGTCAAGACCTTTCCATATCTGAATCCAGAACGAGTTAAAAGAGTTGTGACAGGGTGAACTGTAGCCCCAACATAGTTGAAAAAAGATACTCACTGTTCCATATTTAAGGAGTGTAGGCACTGCAGTTATTTTCAAGTTTGTTTTGAAGTCATTATTTGGATCTTTCCAACTATTTTGAAAAGAAAGTGATCAAAACATTTTACTATGTTTCTTATATTTTGTTTAATATTTGATATATTCCTACATTTAGTTTTTTAGTAATCATTTTGTTGTAAACATTTTAAAAACCTTAAGAACTGTGACTTACCTATTCCCCTGTGTAAGTTTCCTTTAAAGTGTGATTAAGATATGTATGTAAAGACAATTAAGTTCTGAACTAACACCAGACTAAATTTATTGAATTATCCTTCTAATACAAGCGGCTGAACATTCAGAATTTTGATCTGTATTTATATCTTCTAATTGCTTGACTCATCCACTGTACCTTAGACATAGAACCTGAGTCCGGGCCCTTCCCACCTGTTTGGCAGAGTGCAGTGCATGTCTGGGGGAGAGAGTATATATTGCCACTTACTAAGGTTTTTCTCCTACTTGGCAGTAGATGAACACACATTCTTCACTAATATGCTTCAGCCCTTCTCGTACGACTGGTTCAGCTTAAAAAAAAAAAAGTTGATATAAAATAATCACATCAACTCTACAACCAGGCCCTGATAAACAGCATCCCTCTCCCCTCCCCTCATGTTGCTAACAACTCAGACCTAACCTGCAGTTAACTGAGGTTAACAGAAGGCAGGTGTTCTCTGATTTGAAAGCCACTTTAAGGGTAACTACGTCCCGGTCCCGACGCCCTGAAGAATGAAAGGCATATTTGCTGACCTATGCAAAGGACATCAACTCCCGTCCTCACTAAGACGCTAATCATACTGAGGAAGTGAAAAATTGTAAAGGACTAGATGTCAAGATGATATGGGTCGAATGGTAGAAGGCACTCTTGGGGCGGGGGTGCACTTAACAGGAGAGAAGGGAACAAGGTGGGACAAGGAGGCAAAATGCCAGCTTAGAAAGCCCTGCGGATCTCCAGGAGTAAGACTCCTTCCTCTGCCATGAACTCCGCTCTCCGGCCAGAACCTCGGCCTTGCCTTCCTCCACTCCCTTTGGGCAGCAGCACCGAACCCCGGCCTCACCCAGCACGCAGTCGGGGCACCAGCTTTTCCCTTCGGCGTCCTTAGAACCGGTAAAGTAGGCGAAAATGGTCTTGCCTTTGTGCTGCTCCACAGCCCGGGTGAACTCCTCGAAGCCGGACACACTCACCTCCTCGTAAAGAGCCATGGGGAACGCGCTCCGGGAACCGAGGATAGTCGGGGAAGGCTTCGGGTGGTACTGCCCAGAGGCGGGGCCCACGTGGGGCGGGGCGAACCTGCTTCCGGGTGGGCTGAGCACCAGGTGACTGCAGGAGCCCCAAAGCTTCGGGAGATGGGGGGCTACGGGGGCCTCTGAGGGCCATAACTCATCCGTACCGCCTTTCTGCTGTCGCTTCTCCGACCTTCTCGTTCTGGCTCCATTCCGAAACCCAGGCTTCTTTCCTAATTTGGTCTCGGCCCCAGCCCCAGAGACAATGGCTGCAAAACCTGCTGCCGCGCAGCCCTGGAACCCTTACGTGGCTCTCGAGCTCTAACGGCTCCCAAGCCGCCCTGCGCCTGTTGCCATGGCGACCGGGCGAGCGGCCGGAAACCAGGCCTAATTGAGGTCCCCCCCGCCTGCTTCCCAGTAGCCGTGCCTCGCCGCCTCAGGCCGGGTGGGCACACGCGGTGTTGGGGGGTCCTGGGGAGCTGCGTTAGGAGTCATGGACGTGGGGGAGAGGAGAGCTTGGCCCAGGGCAGATACTGCTGCTCGTCGCCCCTTTTAACTATTTTCCTGCCTAGGCTTTAGGGTGGGGCCAGGACTGAAGGGAGGCGAACGGGGCGCGGGGGTGGGGGGCTGGGAGGAAGTCAGGCTGCGCGGTTGGAGCTGGTGTGAGTGCGAGTGTGGAGCAGCCCGGGGGCCAGGTGCCCTGTGCCTGCGTGGGGGTGGTGGTGGTGGTGGGGAGGAGGCCATGAGATTGGCCTAGGAGCATGAGAAGGCGCCCGGGCTGGCTGAGGAGAGGTGAAGCGAAACAGAGATGCTCGGGCTGCTGTGAGGAGCCTATCAGGACGGGCTGGAACCCGTGGAATGAGGGAAAGAGTATGAACCTA